GAGTTCTGTTAGCTCTAGATTCTACCAAGCAAACATACTGATTAAAAGCGCATAACTCAAACATCAAAAGTATTATTACACTATCTCGGTGTATCGAAGTCTCCAAGCAGGGAAACCGTAGTGGCACCTCATAGCTCCCATTTGAGAAGTGGGACGAACCAATATGTGTTAGTACTTATTACGAACAATCTCAGTAAATATGCTTTCTCCCTTATTGCCCCCGAGATAACTGGTGACGTGAAGAATCATGTTTACCATCCCTCCATGAAACAGAAAGAGAAGAACACACATGAGTGCGATCTAAAAGCTCATGAATATCGAGATACAATCAATTCACAAACAAAAGCAGCATACAAAGAAACAGAAAGGCAAATATGAAGAAATAATACTATATCATCATACAATGTGATAACCGGAGACTTTCAAATGCATCACTGAACCTGGAGAAACAAACTTCAGTATATATGTGTATAGTGAGTGAAATCAGGTTATATATATATACCTTCTGAGTCAAAAAGATAAGCATGCTTCACTCCGATGGTTCTTAGCCATTGGATAAGTTCAACAACATTCATAAGCTCATAACCGTATTTGGGTTCCATTACAATAGCTAGATTCCGGATTTTGCCAACATCAATTGGACTATAGTGATTTTTCACTCCTAATGACATGAGACCGCGCTCAAGTTTCTCGTCCCTATCCAAAACAATGTACCATACGCTCACAAGAATGTGCATCAAACGCCACAAAAAGTACAGAACAAGATCACCAGTCTGAGAAAACAAACATTTGCACAAATCAGATGATTCAAGAACTTGCTTTCTATCTATATTGAAGTATGATAAGAGGATTTTGGTACCACCAACAGTCATTTGATTACTCAAATATCAAAACATTAACCAACTTAAGTTGAAATTAAATAAACCTTTCAAGAAACCAAAACGATCAAACACTAATCAAGGAACGAGAAGGCTTTACATTTACATGATCAATCCAAGAATTCATAAGCTGCATTGCATACCAATTACAGAACAAAATCAAAAGAATTTTCCGAAATTGAAGCGAGAACACGGATTGCACCGTTCCCATAGGCCAGTGGACTCCCACAAAAAAATAATAAATTGAATCAGGCCAAATAAAAAAAAAATGAAACTTTGAGCTGAACACGGAAAAAGGGAACTTTTGTTTAAGGATACATAACAAAAAGCAAGTTTGGATTTGATTGAACAATGATATGAAGAAATGGAGTTTGTGATTTTGGAATATAAGCAAGTTAAAGTCCAAACTCCTTTTGCTATGTTTCTTTGCAAATTGTTGTTGTGTTTCAACTACTCATAGTTTGTGATTGACTAATACAACCATGGGTACCATAGTTTTCAATTGCTGATATATGAAACACGATCTCCGGTGAAGATAGCCATCAACTCAACCACAAGCTCCTTGTCATCGTGCTTCTCCACATGCTTTTTTAAGAAAGCTTGATCAGAAATTGTTAACACAGATGCCATTGACGGGAGTTCACTTCCGAGCAATCCTTTGGACATGAGAGCTTTGATTACGTTACACCGTGGCACAATCCTCTTCTTCAGGCTGTATCCAAGTACCTGAGGGAACAAAACCACAGTCTTTAGTGGCCAATTCATCTGATTCACCACAAATCCAATATTTTTCTTCACTGTCTCTGCAGTTAATCCAATGCACGGAGGAAGGCACTTGACCATTATCGTGAACTCATCCCTGGTGAATCCTAGGCCTAGAAGTGTGTCAACGGAGTTCACTATCTTCTGCTCTGAATAACCAATGCATTGCGGAAACTTCTTCACGGCTGAGCGCACTTCGTCTTCGAGTAGTCCACACTTCTTCAGGGTTTCAATCGTCTGAGTTATCTTGCTCTCCGAGTAATGCAGAAACCAAGGCCACTTCTTGAACATTTCCCATACATCTTCCACAGAAAAGCCTAACCTTTTATAGGCTTGGACTCTTTCCTCAACTGTTTTGTTGCTCAAATTGTAAACAACGTGCAGAGCTTTGACAAAGTTTGAGGTGGTCGGATCAAAACCCATCTCAACAATCTTCTTGAGGGATGCTTCAAATCTTTCTTTGCCATGGACATGTCCGTTAAAAGAGATGAGCAAAGGGAATAACAACCTCTGAGGCACGCCCAATTCTCTCAAAGCGGATACATTTCTAAGCTTAATAACCTGTGGCAAAGACTGAGACAGCTTTTCGTACTTGGAACTCTTCTTATCCGTCTCTATGATGTCTTCGACGAAATCGTAATGTCGGCTTATGGCTTTCTCCCATCTCATTCCCAAGATTTTAGGAACTGTAGAAACAATCTCGGTGAGCTCAGAGGTTGAAGCTCCTCTGGACTGTAAAAATTGAAGCTTGGGAGCAAGTGATTTCTCAGCATCTAATACAAGCAATCCTGGGTAAACTCGTAATGATACAGGAGATCTGAGAATCTGTAAACCCATGACTCCTAAGAAGATTCAGAACGGAATCTGGATTGCCCTTACCCTCGGAGTTGGCTTTTCTCGAGATCGATTCTGCAAGTTTTGTGGTTAAACCCAATGAATCAACGAGGTAAGAGACTGTAAAGTTGTGCCCTTTTCGACTATCTGGAGGGCTCATATCTGCAACAGTTGCATAAGCAGATGCATTTTGCACTAACATTCTCAGATTACTACGACATTTTCGTAACTCAATACACCTTCTTCCATGGAGAATTAGAGAAAACATGACAAAAGCAATGACCGAACCGTAAAATGAAAACTAGAATCACCAAATTCCTGAAAACGATTCTTTCTGGTCCAAAGTCCGTTGAGTACAACAAACTCTGTGCGTATGATTGTATTAAGTTTTCGACCGGATAACGATAATAAAATCTTGTATATGAATAGTAACATTTAAGATTCGGAATCCGGATTTGTCATTGCATAGGCTCAAGTAGGGTTGGGATTTCGAGTAAACCGAACCAAACGGATCGGTTATTTCGGTTATTGAAATTCTACCAAACATAATTTTGATTTGGTTCGGTTATCACTTAGTTCCATTACTTTTGATTTTACCAAAATTAACCGAATTTTTTTTAACTTTATTGAAATTCGGTTGAAATCGGATAAATTCAGATAGTTGGTATATCCTGATAATTCGGTTTGGTTCAGAATTTTTATTATTTATTTGAATTTTGGTCTAAATTTTGGTATAAATGGGCTTTTATATAAGAAAATCGGGTAAATATAGAAAACCGAAAAACCGAACAGTTCGGTGGAACCGAACCAAAAACTAAAAATCTTAATTCAGTTCGGTTTGATTAGCTTAGTTCAGTTTTCAATCCGAGCTCTAGTCTCAAGAATATGGTATTTAAAACCGTAAACATTTATGAAATATCTTATACAATATTGTAAGGTTTTTCTAAATCAAAGCTACAATAGGCTCCCATGTATTTTATGGTTTTTCGACATGTATCATTTTTTTTATTTAATAAATGACACTAATTAATTTTTTTTTACTTTAATAATTTAAAAAACAAAAAAAACATATAACAAATTAAGTATATACATCTAATTGATATTTGCTTTTGTTTCTTACATATTTTAAAAATATTTTTCCATCTTTATTTATTTTAACTGGTTCAATAAAACTATTATTTATCAATTCTGTATTTTTAAATAATACATAAAATATTATTGAGAAAATTTGTAAACATCCATAGTTACATTTTATTGACTTGTGATATATGTTTCCAACAAAGATCATAAACTGATGTTTTGAGAAATTTTTTATAATTTATTTATAGGTATTTATCTTAACTAAGGTAAAACTCAAAGAATGAAAATAACAATATAGTTATAGTTAAAAGATAAAATTCATTTGATTTTAAATATATGATTTAGTTTTAATATAGTCTTAATAATATATCTACAAAGATCGAGTTCAATTATTTTTTTAGAAAAAGTGAAAGGATATATTATAAAACCCTATATACAAAAAAAACATTAGTGTGAAAATTGAATTCCGCACTGAGTATTTGTATGTGAATTCGGAGAAGAAACTTTAGTCCTCTCAAAGTTTGTGTTTTCGTTTCTCCTATTACGGGGGAGTTTGGTTGTGGTTTTAGGGAGTTCTAGTTAGAACGCTCATGTTCTTTAGGTCAATATTTTTTCTTAAGTCCGATTTGTGGACTGTCCGAGTAAAGGACAATTATTTGTGGAGTTGCAAGTTGCACCCATGGGATGTTTTTCCTTTTTATAAAGACCAAAGATGAGTTGAAATTTCATCCCTATTTTGAAGATTAAAATTTACACCCGGAGGAGTCTGTTGACTTGTTTTGTCCGTCCTCGACAAGTTGTCCACGACATACGTGTTTCACTTGATGATTTCGCGTACSACGTTTGTCGTGCGGGGGAGTATTGGAGATAGTTTGGGGAGCAAGTACGGACCAAGTGTTTTGGGGCATCAAAACTTGTCTATGAAGTGAAGCCCGTGAAGCTCAGAAGAAAAATATTCTAGATCTCTACATTACTTCTTGTACAAGATATTTCCATTATGTAGTAGAAAAGTTTACGTTATATGGTGTTAGCAAATATGCTAAGCTAATCACTATATATATCTATCTTATGTTTATGTTCTTGTATCAAGACAACTCAATACAATATTCTATTCTATTCTATAATATTTGACATCCGGTGAAGATAGCCATCAACTCAGAGACAAGCTCCTTGTCATCATGTATCTTGACATAGTTGTTTCGGAAAGCTTGATCGGTAATTGCCAACAAAGACGACAGTGGAGGAAGCTTACTTGCGAGCAAACCTTTGGACAGGAGAACTTTGATTACATTACACCTTGGGACAGTTCGCTTCTCCATGCTTAATCCAAGTACCACGGGGTTTGAAACCAGGGCCTTTAGTGGCCAATTCATCTTCTTCACCAGAAACTCAGTTTTCTTCTTCACCGTCTCTGCAGAATATCCAATGCACTGAGGACAGCACTTAACCTTCGTCGTGTACTCATCTCTGGTGAATCCTAGGCCTAGAAATGTTTCAATGGATTTGACTATCTTCTCCTCTGAATAACCAATGCATTGCGGTAACTTCTTCAACACTGAGCGCACAGTCGTCTTCGAGTAGTCCATACTTCTTCAGGGTTACAAACGTCTGAGTTATCTTCGTCTCTGAGTATAAAAGAAAGGTAGGACACTTCTTGAAAATTTCCCATACATCTTCCACAGCAAAGCCCAACCTTTTATAGACTTGGACTTTTTCCTCTATTGTATTGTCGCTCATTTGGTAAACAACACTTCAAGCTTTGACAAACTTTTGGGTGGTTGGATCAAAACCCATGTCAACAACCTCCTTGAGTGATTCTTAAAATCTTTCTTTTCCATAGACCGGTCCGTTAAAAGAGGTGAGCAAGGGGAGTAACAACCTTTGAGGCACGCCCAATTCCCTCAAAATCGATATATTTCTCAGTTTATTATTAACCTCCGGCAAAGACCGTGACGGCTTTTCGAACTTGGAACTCTTCTTATCCGCATCTATGATGTCTTTGACGAAATCATAGTGTCTGCTTATAGCTTTCTCCCACCTCAATCCCAAGATTTTAGGGACTTTTGTAACAATCTTGGTGAGCTCAGAGGTTGAAGCTCCTTCTCTGGACTGTAAAAACTTAAGCTTTGGACCAATTGATTTCTCAGCATCTAATGTAAGCAATAGTGGATAAACCGTAACGATGCTGGAGATCTGAGAATATGTGAATCCATGACTACTGATTACCCTTTCCCTCGAATTTGACTTTCCTCGAGATCGATTCAGCGAGTTTTGTGGTTAAACCCAGAGAATCGACGAGGTAAGAGACTGTAAAGTCC